CAGATCTGCAGTGAAAAGATGGTATATAAATAAAGATTACTACTACTACCCATTAGAGATGTATAAATTATACCACAGGTTACATGGTATAACAAAAGACTGGACCAAATAATGTATCTATTACTCAGAAAATATTACTGCTTTGCCCTTGTATGTATTGTAAATTAATAGACGTTTAATTTTCTCACAATTTTATCTTATTTATACATGTATTATTATTTTTTCATTTATTACTTTGGGCGGCTCGGTGGCTGAGTGGATAGCACTTTCGCTTCCCAGCAAGAAGGTCCTGGGTTTGAATCCCGGTCGGAACAGGACCTTTCTGAGTGGAGTTTGCATGTTCTCTCCGTGTCTGCGTAGGTTTCCTCCGGGTGCTACGGTTTCCCCTACCACTAAAAACATGTACAATAGGTCTGGCATGAGCCTCCTGTTCTGGACCCGCTCCCATCTCTAATTGTGAAATACTATGCGGGGTACTGCGACAACGCCCTTGTAGATCAATAAAGTCTGTCTAAGTCTAAGTCTAATTAGAACATCGGTATAAAGTCCATTCATCTTACAATATGAAATATGTCAGCCTCATTACACACACAAAGTGAGATATATCAAGCCTTCATGTTGTATGTCCTCCTTCCTCCTCCGTCGAGCAAAGACGTGTCTTAGTCCGCTCCTGCTTCTGAACGGCTTGCTATCTCCTGTTTTTGTCTTTTTTCCTGGAGCTTTGCCACAGACAACTTTAACAGAATGGAAATGATTAATTGGTCCCTCAACGCAATTGATTCTATCTTTTCAACACGTAAGCGTGGGTCTGGAGAGCCCGTGTGTCCGGACGGGACTTCACCAGCGGGGTATACGCTTGACAGCTGGAACAAGTGGCAGCCCCTCTGTCTGTCGACCCTGTCCATTGAAGATTCGGAAGACGTATATATCTTTGGCATTTTGGTGGTGGGAATCCTCCTGTTTGGGTTTGGAGCGATCCTCTTCTACCACAAATTCGGAGGCATGGCAGTTCGCAAGATTCACGACCTGCTGGCCGATAAAATTGATGGGATGTACAAGGAGCTTAGCCGTGTCGTGGTTGAGAGTGCGCCGTGTCTGGACAAAGAAGAGTGGTTTTGGTGGAACAGTTGATCAAAGACCTCGCAGCTCGTTCACTTGATGGACATAAGACTTTGGAATTGAGATTGAATGACATTGTTTGTCAGGCTTGATCTCTCTGACCCGGCTTGGATTTGCCCCTGTGTACGGAGGTCTGAGGGCACCGGAATTCGGTTTAATTGGAATTAATAGAATATCTGCCTGCTTTTGACTGCGACATTGCAGGCGATGTGTTTTTCTCCTCCTGTGGCTTCTCTCCACTCTTATCTCACATTCCTCAGCCAAGGCCATAAACAAGGTCCCACAATCTACAACAACTCACACTATTTCAGTCTTCAGCAAGGATCCCCCACCCCCGCCTCCCTCTACCTATCCATCTTGCTCCCTCCCTCCCCTCCATTCCTTATTGTTTTCCTACTCACCCCCTCCCTGATCCCGCCCCCCTCTGACAGCTACATTGGGCCGGCCGAAGAGGTGCTCTTCCCGAGAAAAAAATCCGTGGTTTATAAAAAAGCACAATGTGTCTATCCAATTGTCTGTGAACTGTATGTTATTGCTCTCTGCTGTTTCTTGCTGCACACAGCGCCGCAAATGGCGAAGTGGCACGCTCTCTGCCAAAACAATTTCCAAGTGATAACTTTGTTACTCACGTGGCAATAAAAATGATTCTGATTCTGATTCTGATTCTGTATGTGATAATTGGCTCACACCTGTTTAAACCCAAGAAAATGTGAATATTTTGAAACAATCATCACAATTACAACAGAGGCACAGAAAAAAGCACTCTACATGTAATACACTTATATCATGTATTGGTTTCATATGTTATGTTAGATTCCATACATAAATGAACTTTTGAACAATATTCTACTTTTAAGAGTTTCATATTTAGCCCTTGTCTCTTTTGCAGTTGCGTCTCATTTGACTTGTTCCTCCAAGGACTTCCTAAAACAGGAATGTCAAACTCCTTTTCGTGTGCTCTTGATATAAATGGTTACTATGGCAACTATGACGTGTTATTCACATGTTGGAATAGTTTGTTGTGTCCGACAAAAAATCAATTCAAAGCTTTTCTTCTATTTGGTCCAGTCTTTTGTTCAATTTAAACATGGTACTCACCACAGCAATAATGCTCATCATTCAGAAATTGTAACTGTAATTTCCATGTACAGTAGTTTTAAAATATAAATCTGATATAATACTGTATATAAAAGTAAGTAAGTAAGTAAGTAAAATTTATTTATAGAGCACCTTTCACAGATAAAAATCACAAAGTGCTGTACAAGGTAAAAGCAGATATGAATGTACAATAGAAATAAGACAAAAATAGAAAATAAAATAAAAACAAGAAATCAACCAAAAGCTGTCCTAAAAAGAAGGGTCTTTAGTCCCTTTTTAAAAGCATCGGCAGAGTTGACCACACGGAGGGACAGAGGCAGGGCGTTCCACAGTCTGGGGGCAACGGACTGGAAGGACCGGTCCCCCCGGGTCTTATAGCGGGTCTTTGGGACCGCAAGTAAATTCTGGCCTGTGGACCTAAGAGTGCGACCAGAACAGTGTGGGGTCAAGAGGTCCGAGATGTAACACGGAGCCTGACCATTTAAGGCTCTGAAAGTTAATACTAAAATTTTGAAGTCAATACGTAATTTAATTGGGAGCCAATGAAGTGAGGACAGGACCGGGGTGATGTGAGACCACCGGGGTGATGTGAGACCACCGGGGGGTTCCAGTTAAAAGTCTGGCAGCGGAGTTTTGCACAAATTGAATTCTGTTAAGACAAGTAAACAATGAATTGCAGTAATCAAGACGCGTGGAAACAAAGGCATGAATGATCATCTCCAAGTCCTTCTGTGACAATGTTTTTCAAATTTTGGATATGTTTCTGAGATGATAAAACAGTTTCTAACGAGCTGTTTGGAGTGCGTGTTCAAATTCAGGGCCTGATCAAAAACAACCCCCAGGTTTCTGAGGGAAGAATAAAAAACATGAATTTTCCCATATATAAAAGCATGCATCTCTTCAGCCACTTTAATTGACTTTTACATTCATGTTTTGAGACATCCGTTAACCGCAGCTTCTCACCACCTCAAAGTTTACCTGCGCATATACACTAAGCCACGCAAACCTCACAGTAAATGGGGTATGAGCCACTGAAAAAAATCACTATATGCAATACACATATTTCCATTTGCACTTAAAGCATGATGACACCTCGGTCTTTGTGCCATAACGCAGAAATGACACGCCCGAATTTGCAAAACAAGAAAACACAATAAACCGTAATAGATCTAACGCGCGCTCGGATCTTCTGCCCGGGGCTTTTTCTTGTTTTTTTTTTGCACGAAATCACCTCTCTGCGCATATGTCTGGTGCTGACGATTACACAGAACATAAGTGTCAGTGTATAGGCCTATAAGAAAAAAAAAAACACACACAGATTGGCGTGAACACATAGATAATTAATGGCGCTGGCGAATCCCCTTTAGCTCGGGGAGAGTAAATTGCTTTTTCACCCTCCACAGATTTCAGTGGACTCGTTATGTTGATGATGCCAGAGCGGCTCACACAAACTCTCCTCACCCCCTCCTCACCTTCAACCCCCAGAACTCATCTGTAAGCAAATGGAAAATGATATGCAGAAGAAAGTGCAGATTCGTTTTGAGAGAGACTATAGTTTGCGGTGATTGCCTTCTGTTCTCAAAAGATTTCGCAGCAATTCAATTATAGGTTAGTGTAGGTCATGGAGGCCTTATAAACTGGATAGCATTCATTTCATTGTGCGGTTAACATTTACTAGCCAGGGTCATGATTTTGGCGTTTATACACGTGCCCTCGTAAACACTGTAAGTAAGAGACTTTTAATTTGATTTGTGGCAATTAAGACTGAGAATATGCAAAACAGAATGAATATTTATAGTCATCTGATTCTTGAGCATGTCATAAAACTCCCAAATCCTCATCTACCATTCATGTAATTGTGTGCCACTTTATCATCTAGACTTCTACATGGCCTGCAGTACTCACATCATCCATGTTTAGCACCGACAAGACATTTAGAGCAGAGTTCGGCCATTTTCTGTAGGTGGTTTGTGGCCATTGGTGAATAAAAATCATTACAATTTTGGAACCTCCTTTTTGTTGTTATAACTTGGCAAAGTAAAATGCAGGAAGATAGTGCTCTAAGGAAGTATGCTTATTCCAACCAAGGAGGTTATGTTTTCACCAGTGTATATCTGACAGTTAGCCAATTAACGCAGTTTTATTGCAAACAGTGTAACGTCATTATTATAAGTCCTATGTTTAATTTTTCAATGTTTTTAGAGCTACGATCACTAACCTTTTTAGTGCCAAGGACCGGCCTAACGTCAGAGAAAAATGGCAAGGACCGGCACCATGGTCGGCCAAGGTAATCCTGGTTTCAGCTTAAACCCATTTCTGCTCTGTCTCTGCTCTTGTCTCTTACTTTAGCTCATACATTTCTCCATATGTCATTCTCTTTACTCTGCGTCTGTAAAACTTCATTACAAGCCTCTGTGCAGTGGGACACGTGTGCGGTGGAGGGGCATTTGTTTGTATTCCAAAGCACTACCGTGTCACGTGACCAAGAGATTATATTCTATCAAAAGTAAGTATTGTTTAGAGACAGAAATTATTCATGCTATCCTTGGGGCCCGGTTCGAATGTCCCATGGCCTGATACTGGTCCGTGGACCGGGGGTTGGGAACCGCTGTTTTACACGACCAATGACAAGGCCTCTCCATGTCTGCAAACTGCACATTACGGAGTAGTAACTTAAGCTTTAGTTATTCAACCCTGACCAAACAATAACTCCTACTGACTGAGTATGTGCAGCAACAACAACATTTTCCCCGCAGCCACATAATAAAAAGCAGAACATTCACCCTAAAGAACTCCTTGGTGGATCCCGAGTCCAGCGTCCCGTAGGCGATCTCCGTCTGCTTGGCCAAGTCCTCTGCGCTCTCGATGGGCGACACCATCCTCTCCACGGTCAGGAAGGCAGCCAGGTTAGCCGTGTAGGAAGAGATGATGATGAGAGTGAAGAACCACCACACACCCCCAACGATCCGGCCCGATAGAGATCTACAAAGACGGCACAGAAAACAGTTTTAACGCCGCAACCGCAACAACTGCAAATAAAGGCTAAATACACATAATAGGGCAAGCAGAAGAGGATCTAATCTCGGCCTTCCTTTAGCTCCCTCATCCCAAGCTTTTGTCTTTCTGTGTGTGTTTACCCGGCTTATCTGGCAACTGCAGGAGAAGTGGCAACTCATTAGGTGTGAGAGAAAAGACCCAAAGTGAACGTGGTAAAATAGAGGAAGAGAGATAGCAAAGTGTTTGTAAAAGGCCTTGAAATTTAAATGGGTAAGAAAGAAAACAGACTTAAAAAAAAAGGCAGTGTGAGGGAGAGATTTTACATTTTACAATTGGTGAAACATTTAGTTCAACATTTGAATGCAAACTCTTCAGTTGTGCTGAACAGATCATTCAATTCCAATTAGACCTTGGTGAGAGCGGGTGTGTGGTTAATTGAAAACACATCTATTGCTAAATGTGTTGATAACGGCATAGGCTCTCTTCTGTTTATTAGTTCACTAACTAATCCAGGATACAATGGGGATTCATTCCAAACGGTTAATTTTGTTTTTCCTCACATAAACTCTACCACACAGACTAGACCACGGTCTTCATCTAACTAGAAAACATTACATTCAAGAATTGATTTGCCATTTGCAGTTAACCACATTGGAAAAACTGTGCAAGGCTACCCCAGTGTGCACCATTAATGCACACTTTGACTATTGGTTATCCACTTGACAAATTCTGTATGACAGAGCATGACAGAGGCCCGGAAAATAAGAATTTGTGAGAGTAAAGAAGAGGTTTTTAGTTCCACATTCTGCTGTTGTAAAATCATCTAAATATTGTATTGGTCTATTACTACAATCTTTTTGTAGTAATAGTCCAATATTACTACAGTCATTTTGAGCAGAATCTGATAATAAACCCTACACAGACAGTGACAGACACATTCATCAATGAGAAGTACATTAAAAAGCACAAAACAGAATACATTGCCTTTTCCGTCTGCCCAGAAGGATACATAAGATAAGATTAGATAAGATAAACTCACAATGGAGAAATTTACGTATCACATTTGGCATAGCTAGAATCACGCAGATTGTGCAAAAACACAGAAGTGTGCAACATATTTTACGTGCCATAGGTGGCTAGCTGACAGATCTCACTTGTAACTTGTAACCTGCTAGTAGATCAATAGAAATAGATTTGTTAATGGCACACATTCTACAACATTCCATAGTGCACCTTCATGGGGCCATGACATTTTTACAATACATGTGATTATCCATATCACAAGAAAAAGCACAAAAAGTGATCAATTCTAATCAAAACAAGATGAATGAATATGTCAAAATGTCTTTCACAGGAGCAGGTTTTTGTGTAATATAATCAGTCGACTGTATTTCTGGACTTTGGCATATGGGCTGTTAGTCAATTATTTATGATCCTTATGGTGAACCAGTGGAGCAGGAAAGTGGCATTGATTTTAGCACAGTGGGGCATTGCTTTAAGTAAACCCTCCTTGTGGAAGGCCAAACTTACTGTATTGATTATTGATCACTGTATTGAGCCTGGCAGGCTGTCCTTTGTGGTCTGACCTGTTCAACGATATACAGTAGATATTCAAATTCCCATAATGCTGTGCTTCAGGGAGCTTTAGGAAAAGTCAAGAACGGCTGTGACCTATTTTGAATGTTCTCGACATTTACCATGAATTCCAGACTATAAGTCACAGCTCTTTTTTCCTGGATTCTGCAGGCTGCGGCTTATAGTAAGGTGCGGCTTCTATTTTTCTTCTTTTTTTTCTTTTTTATTTTCTAGGCGCCAAAAACAATTTGTCGAGTAACAGCTAGCCAACAGAATTGATGAGTAGTTCAGAGTCAATAAAGCAGATGAAATTGATTTTAAAAGTCCTCACATATAATATCTTTGTGTAAATATCTCAGAGTAACGGTAGATGTAGCTCCTTATCTTTCTGCTGGACACTGGAAGATGAAGTGACTCACTTCTTACTCCTACTCTTATTACTCAGAGCAAGTAGTCATTTGTATTAAGTTATGAATGTTTTTGAGCTACATGTTTCAATATTACAATGTGGGACAGGTGCGGCTTATAATCCGGTGTGGCTTATAGTGCGGAAAATGTGGTCTGTTTTGAGAGAAATTTGGTATGAAATTTATAGAATCAATCAACTAAGATGAATATCTTAATTGAGATGATGAGTGAGTTTATGATATGAATGAGTTTATAATATTACCATCTGATGAACTTTGTAACACTGCAAGAGAATATTGTAAGGTTTTACACATAGTTGTCTATCGGCCTGGACTCCCTAAAGTACAACTTTTGATTCAGCGTATCCATAAAATGTGTTTTCCGACCGTGAAGCTGGTATATTACAGAAAGCATATGGTACACATAATAAGTCTCAATGCTATTTGTAGTTTTGAGGTTGGGCGCTGAGATATAAGGGAAGCAAATTATACATTTGTTGTAATAACCATCTGTCCAAGCAATTAAAATCTTCTATTTTACAAAACCCCTGCAGTGTGTTAAGCCCTTGAAAGTGTACTGCTTTTGCTTGTGTCTGAATGTCCATCCTATAGCCACTAACTGCTCAATCACATGGACTTTTAATGAACACTGTTCATGTCATATCCCTTAATATAATGAACAAACATGATCAGTGTGGACATTCATTCATCATTTTGTTGTTGTCTGCTTAACATGTCAAACTCTTCATTAGGAGTGGACTAACCGAGTGCTAACGTCTTAGTTGAAAAAATACTGGCTAGTATAAATATAACCAATTTTCTTTAAAGGGCATTTGTTACAACGGTGTCGACGCACGCGAGGATGCAAACGTGTTGCTAACAAGGTTGCTAAGGCAAGCAGGGGCAAATGACGACATCTGATTGGTCAATAATTGAGGCTCATTTCTGGATTTACAAAGAGAATTTTAAACTAAAAACACCGAACAGTACAACCACACAGATTTTGAAGCCCATAATAGTGAATTTACTTTTGCATGAAAGTGAATAGGAACCCAAGCGAGTTCAGAGTAATCTATCTATATACAGTGCATGTCTGAAACACATACTGCAGGTTATAGTATGCCAATTTAATTTAATTACAGGTGTAGAGAAAGTCCAGGACATCCAGTCCAAAATTTGTTTTTAGTATAGATTTTTTTGGATATTATGGACCGGCACCTCCTTTAGCGGCCTATAGTTACACTTATGGTACAGCTTTTACATACAGTATGCTGGCAAACTGAGTAATATCTTTTTCTTCCAACTTACAAGAGGAGACATTCATTTCCTCATGAAAGTCGTATCACTCAAAACCACTAGCTTGAAACAAACATTTTCTTTTGCTCTAATTGCATCAATACATTTGTAATTTGAGTTTTGTCAAGAACGCCTCGTGTTGTTTTTTCCCCGTCAAAACAAATGCTCTGAGCCTTCATTACATCCACACAACAGCTTAATCATAACAGAGCCATTTGACGCCAGCTCTGGTCTGCGCTGCACCGCGAGCGAGGGAATCCAAATGAAGACGGAACACCTTCAATGGTCCACTGGAGAGAGATGGAGGCAGAGGACCCGCTGATTAACAACGTGTCTGCCATGTGATGCGTGTCCTTCATGTATGCTCTGCTGATACGAGGGGCGGGAGGGGTACGGCTCTGCTTTCGGCTGAAAAGTTACGAAAATGAACCGCTCCCCTTACGATCCGGTGTTGTGGATCAAAACTAAAAAGTGACAGTTGAAATTGAGAAGATGCGGATCTGTCTGGGATCATGTCACAGGCGACATGTTTTATTGTTGATGGTAAAGATGAGACATGAACAAGAGTTTTACAGCATGTGATATTATACCATAGACTGTCCAATCAGCAGCTGCCACGGTGCCAGTAGCTTCGGCCTTCAGATGACCGAAGCATTCAAGTGGAAAATCATCAATGTTATTAGAATTATTCAACTTTAACCAGTGTCCTATGGATCCAAATGACTCTATTACTAAACTGTCAACTCCAAATACATTTTTTGCAGTAAACGCTCACATTCATACACATAAGATACAGAAAGAGAGCCTTTGATCATCCCACAGTGAGAAGATTTTGGAATTACAAACAAAATAATTTACACTAAAATCTGTAGTGTAATCTTAATCTTTCCAATCACGCATGGAAAGTTTATCTGTAAAGTACAGTTCAAACAACACAACTCAAAAGCGTGAAGACACATTCCTTCAGTTGTATGCACAGCTAATTAGAGCTGTTTTTAATGTGGTCTTGAACATTGTCAGAGAAGAAGTCTGTCTCACATTTTCAGGAAGACTGTTTCAGATTTTAGCTACATAAATCTGCAATGCTGCCTCCTCATGTTTAGTCCTGACTCTGGGCACCAGCAGGAGGCCAGTCCCTGTGCTCCTCAGAGTCCCAGCAGGAGGCCAGTCCCTGTGCTCCTCAGAGTCCCAGCAGGAGGCCAGTCCCTGTGCTCCTCAGAGTCCCAGCAGGAGGCCAGTCCCTGTGCTCCTCAGAGTCCCAGCAGGAGGCCAGTCCCTGTGCTCCTCAGAGTCCCAGCAGGAGGCCAGTCCCTGTGCTCCTCAGAGTCCCAGCAAGAGGCCAGTCCCTGTGCTCCTCAGAGTCCCAGCAGGAGGCCAGTCCCTGTGCTCCTCAGAGTCCCAGCAAGAGGCCAGTCCCTGTGCTCCTCAGAGTCCCAGCAGGCAGTCCCTGTGCTCCTCAGAGTCCCAGCAAGAGGCCAGTCCCTGTGCTCCTCAGAGTCCCAGCAGGAGGCCAGTCCCTGTGCTCCTCAGAGTCCCAGCAAGAGGCCAGTCCCTGTGCTCCTCAGAGTCCCAGCAGGAGGCCAGTCCCTGTCCTCCTCAAAGTCCGAGTTGGTTCAAATGACACAGTGCAAACTAACATAGCACGCACACACACATCCCCTACAGATAAATGGAACAAGACCAAACCATGATCATATTAGAACTAAA